GGCTGAGTTTGGAAGCAGAGAGAGCAGGGGACACTGCCCCCCTAGTCTTTTAAAAGAAGAATGAACAGTTCTTCCCTGTTCATGTTTTTGTTTCTTCAACAGGGAAGAGTGGGCAGGTCTAAGACAAACATGCTGAGCACATTCTGTCAGGAAGGACAGACAGGGAAAAAAGGGAGGAGGGGTTGCCTTGTATATTAAAAATGTACACACTTGGACTGAAGTGGAGATGAACGTAGGAGATAGCTGTGTAGAGAGTCTCTGGGTTAAGCTAAAAGGGGTAAAAAACGAGGGTGATATCATGCTAGGAGTCTACTACAGGCCACCTAGCCAGGTGGAAGAGGTGGATGAGGCCTTTTTTAAACAATTAACAAAACTATCCAAAGCCCAAGATTTGGTGGTGATGGGGGACTTCAACTATCCAGACATATGTTGGGAAACTAACACAGCGAGGCACAGGCTATCCAATAAGTTTCTGGACTGCATTGGAGACAACTTTCTGTTTCAGAAGGTTGAAAAAGCTACCAGAGGAGAAGCTGTTCTGGATTTGGTTTTAACAAATAGGGAGGAACTAGTTGAGAACTTGAAAGTGGAAGACAGTATAGGGGACAGTGATCATGAAATAATAGAGTTCATGATCTTAAGGAAAGGTAGAAGGGAGACCAGCACAATTGAGGTTATGGATTTCAGGAAGGCAGATTTTGATAAGCTCAGAGAACTTGTAGGTAAGGTCCCATGGGAAGCAAGACTGAAGGGAAAAACAACTGAGGAGAGTTGGAAGTATTTCAAAGGGACGTTGTTAAGGGCCCAAAAGCAAACAATTCCGCTGTGTAGGAAAGATAGAAAATATGGCAAAAGACCAGCTTGGCTTAACAAGGAGATCTTGCATGATCTCAAAATAAAAAAGGAGTCATATAAAAAATGGAAACTAGGACAACTAACAAAGGATGAATATAGGCAAGCAACACGGGAATGCAGGGGCAAGATTAGAAAGGCAAAGGCACAAAATGAGATCAAACTAGCTACAGGCATAAAGGGAAACAAGAAGACCTTTTATAAATACATTAAAAGCAAGAGGAAGACCAAGGACAGGGTAGGCCCACTGCTTAGTGAGGAGGGAGAAGCAGTAACAGGGAACTTGGAAATGGCGGAGATGCTCAATGACTTCTTTGTTTCGGTCTTCACCGAGAAGTCTGGAGGTGTGCCTAACGTAGTGAATACAAGCAGAGAGAGGGTAAGTTTAGAAGATAGGATACACAAAGAACAAGTTAAAAATCACTTAGGAAAGTTAGATGTCAGCAAGTCACCAGGTCCTGATGAAATGCATCCCAGGATACTCAAGGAGCTGATAGAGGAGGTATCTGAGCCTTTAGCTATGATCTTTGAAAAATCATGGCAGACAGGGGAGATTCCAGAAGACTGGAAAAGGGCAAATATTGTGCCCATCTATAAAAAGGGGAATAAGAACAACCCAGGAAATTATAGACCGGTCAGTTTAACGTCTGTCCCAGGGAAGATAATGGAGCAGGTAATTAAGGAAATCATATGCAAACACTTGGAAGGTAATAAAGTGATAGGGAATAGCCAGCATGGGTTTGTGAAGAACAAGTCATGCCAAACTAATCTGATAGCTTTCTTTGATAGGATAACGAGCCTTGTGGATAAGGGAGAAGCGGTGGATGTCATATACCTAGACTTTAGTAAGGCATTTGATACGGTCTCGCATGATATTCTTATTGATAAACTAGGCAAATATAACTTAGATAGGGCCACGATAAGGTGGGTGCATAATTGGCTGGATAACCGTAGTCAGAGAGTTGTTGTTAACGGTTCTAAATCCTGCTGGAAAGGGATAACAAGTGGAGTTCCTCAAGGGTCTGTTTTGGGACCCGTACTGTTCAATATCTTCATCAATGATGTAGATATTGGGATAGAGAGTACGCTTATTAAGTTTGCAGATGATACCAAACTGGGTGGGGTTGCAACTTCTTTGGAGGATAGGGACATAATTCAAAATGACCTTAGCAAGTTAGAGAAATGGTCAGAGGTAAACAGGATGAGGTTTAATAAGGAGAAATGCAGAGTGCTCCACTTAGGAAGGAACAATCAGTTCCATACATACAAGATGGGAAGCGACTGTCTAGGAAGGAGCATGGCGGAAAGGGATCTAGGGGTCATAGTGGACCACAAGTTGAATATGAGTCAACAGTGTGATGCTGTTGCAAAAAAAGCAAATATGATTCTAGGTTGTATCAACAGGTGTGTTGTAAGCAAAACTCGTGAAGTCATTCTGCCGCTCTACTCTGCACTAGTTAGGCCTCAGCTGGAGTACTGTGTCCAGTTCTGGGTGCCACATTTCAAGAAAGATGTGGAGAAATTGGAAAGGGTACAGAGAAGAGCGACAAGAATGATTAAAGGTCTAGAGAGCATGACCTATGAAGCCAGGCTTCATGAACTGGGCTTGTTTAGTTTGGAAAAACGAAGATTAAGGGGGGACATGATAGTGGTTTTCAAATATCTAAAAGGGTGTCACAAGGAGGAAGGCGAAAATTTGTTCCTCTTGGTTTCTGAGGACAGGACAAGGAGTAATGGGCTTAAAGTGCAGCAGGGGAGGTTTAGATTGGACATTAGGAAAACATTCCTAACTGTCAGGGTGGTCAAATATTGGAATAAATTGCTAAGGGAGGTGGTGGAATCTCCCTCTCTGGAGATATTTAAGAACAGGTTAGATAGACATCTGTCAGGGATGGTGTAGACGGAGCTTGGTCCTGCCTTGAGGGCGGAGGGCTGGACTCGATGACCTCTTGAGGTCCCTTCCAGTCCTATTATTCTATGATTCTATGAATTAACTAATTTGAACTAAGTTAGTTCGAATTAACGTTGTAGTGTAGACATACCCTTACATCCTACAATATTTGCTAGAACTATGCAACACCGTAGTTCCTTTCCCTGAGTACCATCAAGGTACATCTGGCATCCCTTTCCGCCTTACATGCTCGGATACAAGGGCACTCAGTGTTTACACAACCTATTTCCCCCATATAAGGATCCAACCCCAGCATGGGACTTAAAATTTCTAGTGACAGTGCTTACGGGTTAACCATTTGAGTCTCTCTTCACGTGCTTATTCCTTCACCTGTCCATGAAAATAGTGTTCCTGGTGGCTATTACCTCTTCAAGGCGTTTGGGTGAAATAGCAGCACTAATGGCAGATCCATCATACACCATATTTCACAAGGATAAGGTCACACTTAGGACTCATCCCAAATTCCTACCTAAAGTACCTACCAGGTTCCACTGCAACAAGCCCATTTACTTATATGTTTTCTTCCCTAAACCACAAAAGGATAGGAAAGATGCAGCTCTCCATACCTTGGACATCTGCAGAGCACTAGCATTCTACTTACAGAAGACTAAACCTATTAGGAAAACACCACAGCTGTTCGTCTCCTCGACGGAGAGGTCACAAGGGTTGCCTATATCAAAACAAATACTTTCAAAATGGATTTCTAGTTGCATCAAACTAGCATATGCCATAGCACAGAAAGACCTACCAGCAAATATACGAACCCACTCAGTGCGGGCTATGGCAGGAACAACAGCATTTCTGCAGGGTGTCCCAACTGAGCACATCTGCAGGGCTGCAACTTGGGCATCAGTACATACTTTCACACGACATTATGCATTGCAGACATTCGCTGAGACAGAGACAACATTTGGTCACACAATACTCTCGGCCTCACAGTCTCAGCATTAGAAGCTCCCACCTCCTGTTATGAACACTGCTTTATAATCACCTAAGGTGGAGCACCCATGAGGACACTCCTCGAAGAAGGGAAGGTTACTCACCTGTGCAGTAACTGGAGTTCTTCCAGATGGTTGTCCCTGTGGGTGCTCCACCACCCAGCCTCCTCCCCTCTGCGTCATAATACCACATGTTGGGGTTAGAAAAGGAACTGAGTGGGGGAGGGAGATGGCCGTGCATGCACAGTAGCCTCCTCAGAACACACACATCTGCTCCCTGTACACATGGCCAGCCAGGGGCACTGCTGTCAAAATATCTGTCCTCAGGCTCAGTGGCGCAGAAGCACCTAAGGTGAAGCACTCACAGGGACAACCATCTTGAAGAACTCCAGTTACTACACAGGTGAGTAATCTTCCCTTGTTCTTTCAAAAGTTAACAACTGAATATTGACTTAACACAGATTTGCAACTTTATTATGCAGAAGTGCTGCTTTTAACCATCTTAATTTATATGAATAAGGCACAGAAACAGCTTTCTTACTTTGTCAAATTTTATAAAATGTTTCCTTTATTTTTAATAGTTTACATTTAAAACTGTACTGTACTGTATTTGCTTTTCTCCCCTCTGGTGCTGGCCTGATTGCATACCTCTGGTTCCCAATGAGGTGTATGGTTGGCTGGTTAATTTTTAACTCTGGTATTTATAACTCTATGGTTCTACTGTGCCACAAACATGAAAGAACTCTGAAAAACCTTCACAAAATCAGAGTTTCATGCTCTCAGCATGTAGGTAATTGTTATCCTAAAAGTAGAAAGAACATAAGTAGGGCTGAGAATCATAACAGAATGGCATTGTGTGCTATGCAGTAGGAAAGTGTGGGTGCTTATCTGAAAGCATTGGCTTAGGTGGAAGAATGTTTCCACAATGGGGTTCTTAAACATAACTTGGAAAAGCATCAGCACTATGTGCGTGTTTGAGAATTTATTTATTTATTTATTTATTTATTTATTTATTTATTTATTGCAGTGCGCAAGAAGTAAAAGAGCACCATTTTTTCAAAGGGATTGATTGGCAGCAAGTCTGCTTACAAAAGGTATACATAAAAATGTAACCTTGACTCTTGATATAAAGCAATAAAATGTAAGTAGGGTAGAATAACGGAAATTTAGGTCCTTATTCTCTCTGCATTGTCAATTTCATTTGTGCATTGTAAGCACAAAGTAGATGTAAAATGCTACTGCTGTTGTGAATGTGTGAAGAATTCTGATCTGTAGCATTGTGTAGCTGTGCAGGTTCAGATGATTGCACAGCATGCCAAGCAGGGGAGAATCTAGGCCTTTCATCTTTTATATGGTTCTTCTGTATGACGGTATATAAATGATAAAAAAAACTAAAGCTCTTGCAAGTGCCTTGGAAAGATCTTTCAGTAAAGGAATAGATATATAAGTCTAGTTTCATGCAATATGTTGTTATTTACCCTGTAGGGACAACTTGTGCTTTGTTTTGCAGCTAAGTTGGGTAGACAATAAAGGAATGTCTAGACTACATGCCTCTGCCAATAGAGGCATGTAAAATAGGCTACCCGACATAGTTAATGAAACCGGGATTTAAATATCCCCAGCTTCATTAAAATAAAAATGGCCGCCATGCTGTGCCGGCTCAGCTGATTGTCGGCACAGCGCAGCAATCAAGACGCGGATTGGTTGACAGTGGAAGCCTTTGTCGACCGCTCCTGTAAACCTCATTTAAATATTTCAATCCCCGCTTCATTGCCTATGTCGGGTAGCCTATTTTACATGCCTCTGTCAGCATAGCCTAATATAGCAGTGGTTCACCAGCGTTAGCTTCTGGTGAACCACTGCAGCTACATTTATATGCATGGCCACAGCACGACGCGGATTGGTTGACAGTGGAAGCCTTTGTCGACCGCTCCTGTAAACCTCATTTAAATATTTCAATCCCCGCTTCATTGCCTATGTCGGGTAGCCTATTTTACATGCCTCTGTCAGCATAGCCTAATATAGCAGTGGTTCACCAGCGTTAGCTTCTGGTGAACCACTGCAGCTACATTTATATGCATGGCCACAGCACACGAGTCCAGCCAGTGGGCTGGCATTTGCTCACCTCTGAGCTAGGTAAAGAATAAATGTAGAATTGATTGAAATTATGCTACTTGCTTGACTATGTAACTTGACTACCCTGCCTTCGCTATCCAGTATCCTCCACCACTGGTTCCACCCCGGGGAGAAGTAAATGCAGCAGATGCTTTTGATATTGGCTCCTTTGATGAAGAGGACACTAAAGGCATTAAGGTACATATGTGATATTTTTCCTTCAGCCGTTGTTTCATTTATAGCTTTAGATGAAAGATTATAAATGACACTTTCAAGGTGCTGTTACATACAGGCCCCCATCATGTGTATGTTTATGTTTAAGAGACCGATAGTGTCATTTACTTCAGTTGGATTATTCACTGCTTAAATTTGTAGGTTGGGTTCATAATGATATTATTATTACTGTGTATTGTGTATGATGGTTTTGTCAGGTTTTTATATCTTGTGTGTGTTTAAAATTCTAGTTTGACTGAAAGTAAGTGTACACACTGTTCCTGATCCATGAGTTCTATCGTATACCCTAGCTTTTAAATAACCCCTCAGAGGTATCTCCAGGGTGCCCATTGGGGTCCCACTCTTCCTTAAAGATAAGCCAAGTGTTTCAGCCTAAGGGCTCCAGCACTCCTGTTTCAAACTGTGAGAACTGCCCAGAAAATTTAATGGAGGCCAAGTCTATGCTACAAAATCAAGTCGACATAGAATCAACACAGTAATTTTTAAATGTACTTTTGGTGTTGTTATTGTAGAGTATAACAAAGAGATAATTACAGGTAGTGAGTCAGGAGAGAAAGAAATCACTCCAACTTCCTGAACAGAAATATATTAACTACCCACAGTAACTAAAAAGGAGAACCTGTCTGTCAATATAATGTGCTGCAATTTCTAGCATCTGGCATAAGACAGTTTTTAAATGTTCCAAAAGAAATACAAAGAACAGAAAATGTTCTCTTTGTTAGAAAACACAACTCCTGAGATGCCAGTAGAGTAATACGTTTCTGATGACTGATAATCCCAAACACCATTTTCTGGGGAGAAATTAGGTTCATTTGTATTCTTTAGTTTGTTATAGATGTTAAATTCTCAGCAAGGCAAATACTTATAACTCATATTGTTGACTCATTGCACTTTATTTTTTGTACTGGCTGCCCTTAAATTATATTTATTTCCTCACTCAATAGAGTTGTAGTGCACGGTGCATTTTATGCTCTGGCTAAAACTTCATAATCCCTTTGGAAAGGATTGACTAATCCCCGAATTCTGAGTCACATATAGAGGAAATTAAGGTTTTCATAAACAGTGCCATCTTTCTCAGTTTGCTGGTCACCGTTTGGAGGCTGAAGCCCAGCTACTGTACTTTCTCCTCCACTACCTGGGATGACATTTACTTTGAGGAAGAACCCAAAGGTCCTAATCAGAAGATGTTCTCACAAGAAGACATCTTCCTTGACCCAGAGATTATAAACCAAGGAGACATGAAACAGACCCCAGGTGAGGGAGAAGGATACAATTTAATAGCAAAGTTTTCAGGGAGGTGATAGGCAGGTTAGGGTTTCTTTCTTCTCTGAATAAGTATCCACTTACTAGGCTTTTGCTAATTCTTTCATATTAATTGTTATCAAGAGCCTGTTGTCTAAATTTTCTCAGTCATCTTGATGGCTTTTGTTTGGTTCTTTTCATATAACCATAGAACTGAAAGGAACCTCCAGGAGTCAAGTCCAGTCTCCTGCACTCATGGCAGAACCATACACCATCTAGACAATTGGCATAGAATCATTACGCGTCTAGCCATCAAACTGGAAATAAGGCATGCACTTTTGGCAATGAGGGTGATTTAACCATTGCAACAACCAATGTCATACCTTTCAGAAGAGGTTGTTGTGATCATCTAGGCTGACTTCACATGTAAGAGAAGCCACAGAACTTCCCCAAAATAACTCCTTAGAACATGCCTTTTAATTCCTAGAACATATCTTAGAATCATAGAACACTAGAATTGGAAGTGAATCTCTAGAGGTCATTGAGTCCAGTATCCTGCCCTCACAGCAAGACCAAGCACCATTTTAGACCATCCCTGATAGATGTCTATCCAACTTGCTCTTAAATATTTCCAGAGATGGAGATTCCACAACCTCCCTATGCAATTTATTCCAGTGTTTAACCACCCTGACAGTTAGGAAGTTTTTCCTAATGTCCAACTTCAACCTCCCTTGCTGCAATGTAAGCCCATTGCTTCTTGTTCTAGTCTCAGAGGCCAAGGAAAACAATTTTTCTCCATTCTCCTTGTAACAGCCTTTTAGATACTTGAAAGCTGCTATCAGGTCTCCCTCAGACTTCTCTTTTCCAGACTAAACAAGCCCAATTTTTTCAGTCTTCCCTCATAGCTCATGTTTTCTAGACCTTTAACCGTTTTTGTTGCTCTTCTCTGGACCTTGTCCAGTGTCTCCACATTTTTCTTGAAATTTGTTGCCCAGAACTGGACATAATACTCTAACTGAGGTCTTATCATCACAGAGTAGAGTAGAAGAATGACTTCTCGTATCTTACTCACAACACTCTTGTTAATACAGCAGTCTGAGATATTCTGACCTCAGACTTTCTGGCCTCTATAGAATCTGATCCCATCCCTTTGCAAGTGGTGGGAGAATGAGTTAGATCCCTGGGGCCTAAACTGAGGGAATGGAGGGAGGATGGGGACATAGAAGGGGCAGCTGGTTTACTTTCCAGTTAGGAAGGCAAAGTTTGCATTTTGTCTTGTTTTTCTGAAAGACAGTGCAATTTTTCTGCATGGTTAGAAAGCAAAAGAGGAAAGAGAAAAGTATAAGAGTTTAGGTGTTGTGAGAAAAAGGTTTCACCAGAGGCTAACCCTGAAACCAAAAATATAAATAAACTTATGGAAAAAAATGTTATTCTTAGCACTATGCCAAGCCCTCTGGCCCTAGTGCTCTGAGTCCTAACAGTTGCTATACCAAGCCACAGGTGATCTTTTTTCCAGAATCAAATAATTCAGCTATGTTCAGTACAATTCAGTTTAAGCACTTTAGCTAGTGTGGGAAGCAAAAAAGAGCATTATAACATGAAGGCAGTCTGAAATCAGCAGCATACAACACTATTCTAAAGGTACATTGTTAACCATGTAAAATTACTGTGAATGCCTGAGAACTTATCTCTGTGTAAAAAAATGCCTTTGCATATGTCAAGAACATGGTATTTGCTTCCTTTGGGAAACTTCATAGATCTGGTTTCCTAAGCTTTTGGAAGTAGTGTAAATGGGTCTGTTGGGACAAGTTTTTACTTAGTGGGCTCACCAGTGTGGCAAGGTGTGAGGATGATTTAATAATATTTACACGTTTTGTTTTAATTGTTGTAAGGCTCCCTGATAATGTGCTACATTTACCGCTATTTAAATAATAAACTACACACATCTTTGCCTTATGAACATTGTTTCTGAAACTACATCTATACTACAGTCTGAATCAATGCTCTGAGATCGATCCACTGGAGGTCAGATTAGCAGGTCTAGTGGAGACCTGTCAGATCAACCACAGATTACTCTCCCATCTACCCTGTTACTTTACCCAGATGAGAAGAATAAGGGAAGTAGACAGGAGAGTTTCTCTTCTCGATCCCCCATGGTGTAGTCCCGATTGCAATTTGATTTAAGGTACATCAGCTCCAGCTATGTTATTCACATAGCAGAAATCCATGTAGCTGGAGTAGCATAGCTTAAGATGACTTTTGACTTTCTGCTGTAGTGTACATGTAGCCTGAGAGCTCAAATATATTTAGTGGAGTCAGTTATTGCAAGAGCAGTAGGCAGAGGAGCTTGTTACAGAGATTTCTTGAATAGCAGCTCATAAAAACGACAATTTCAAAATTCAATCTTAAAGTTCCAGCCAAAATGTTTATATCATTTTTCAGGCATTGTATCACTTGAATAACTTATGTCATATTGCTGGTATAAAAGTATTTGAGCAATGTTTAAAGAATATAAAAAAAAACCCCTAGCATCTATATATTTAAAATCTGACAAAATTTTCTTACTGTAGAATAAGAAACTATCACTTTAAATAGTTTTGCTTTCCCGAGTTTTTATTATATATAACATTGTTAATCTTAGTCAACTTCACAGTGTCAATTTCATTCTAATCTTTTAAATTATATATATTGTTGCATTGGAATAATTGATTATGATGGTAATGGAAAATCCTTCATCTTATGGCATTTTCCCTCCTAGTTGGTGGATAGTGACCAAGAATTGTATAAGAACTTTCCTCTGGTAATATCAGAGCGTTGGCAGCAAGAAGTAGCCGAAACTGTTTACGATACAGTAAATGCAGACACCGATAAAATTGAGGCCAGGAAGAAGGCTAAAAATAAGCAACTGGGCCATGAGGAAGGTAATGTTTCTAGTGCACATCTTTCACTCTTTAATGCTAGATAGGATTATTAAACATTTTCCAGTAGGTAATCTTTTATTTTATTATGTTATTTCCCTGTAATTGAGAGAGTTTATGCTTTAATTATTCTTTTAGGTTTCATTTAATTCAGTCTATATTTCTTAAATTATTTTGAGATATTTTGTATTTTAATTTAACCTTCCAGAAAAGCTATGAATGATTCTTCAAAAGTCAAGAGATATTACTCTATGCTGCCTTTAATTATCTACAAGTCTGAGGCATCTTTGGTATTTTGTATCCAGGATTTGATTTTATGGTGAGAATAGCATCTGAATGAAAAAAATGAGACCATTTTATCAGACAAAACTGCTTTGAATAATGTACTTGAGATCAGTGACAATGTTGAGAGTAGGGATGTGAACGACCAGTCAACTATTCGATAAGCAAATGCTTATCAGATAGTCGACAGGTTAGTCGACTAGTGGCTTCCCCCCCACCCTTACTGCCTCTATAAGAAAGAGGTAGGTGTGGAAAGGAGTAGGTGCTTCAAAATGGCAGTGGAGCCTGGAGCCAGACCCGGGGCTCCATGTGGCACTTCTGCTTCGAAATGCTGTGTGGAGCCCAGGGTAACCTGGGGACTTACTGACCCTGATGCCCCATGCGGTGCTACCCCTTTGAAATGCCACGTGGATCCTGACACCAAGCTCCTTGTGGTGTTTCAAAGCAGCAGCACAGAATGGAGGTCAGAGTCAGCTGGGGACACCCCCACTGATCCTGGGCTCCATCCAGCACTGCCACTTTGAAATGCTGCAGGGAGCATGGAGCCAGCAGAGGACTGCTTGAGTCCCCCCTGGTCCTGTGCTCCCCGAAGTGCTTTCCCTTTTGAAGTGTAGCAACAGCCCTTTTGCAGCAACCTTTCAAAGGTGGAAGCATCCTTATCAACTAATTGATGCAAATTGCAGCGACTATTCAATTAGCCAGATAGTCAAAATTTTACACCCCTAGTTGGGACCATCTCTTTTTTTGTATGCAGTAGTCCTGTAGGCTACATCTAGACTGCAAGCCTCTTTCAAAAGAGTGTCTAGACTACAACCAGTACTTTCAAAAAAGCAAGCCGCCTTTTCGAAAGAGAGCATCCAGGCAGTCTGGATGCTCTTTTTCGAAAAAGCACAATTTTCATTACATAGCGCCTTTTTTTGAAAGAGCACTTTCATAAAAAGGCATTATTCCTCATAAAACAAGGTTTTCTGCGGTTGGAAAAACTGCCATGTTCTTTCGATTTACGTTTGAAAGAATGCGGCAGCCATCTAGACGCAGGGGAAGTTTTTTTGAAAAAAGGCTACTTTTTTTAAAAAAAAACCCTGTAGTCTAGACACACGCCTAGTGTTCATCACCTTATGATAAGTTTGCATTGACCACGTCTTGTAGAATGCCACTGATTTTAGAGAGGCTTCGTGAGGTTGTTAATGCAGAATGAGCTACTTTACCTGTCTGTCCTTAGCCCTTAATATTGTGTCCAGTTATGGTGGTTTGAAATTCACAAATTCCTTCCATCTTTTTCTTTTGGTCTTTGTTTTCTGGTAATTCACTTATAGTAGTTCCATATTACAGATGAAGTTTTAAAACAAGTTCTAAATGATAGCATTGAAACATGGGCACATTTCAGAATGCTGTCCAAGACCTGGTGTCAGCATTATGAAAGGTTCTTGGGAGACTGAGCAACAGAATGGCATGTGAAAGTCAGTTGACAAATGCAAAGTAATTTAGACAGGAAAATGTAACCCTACATACATATATATGTACAGTTCCTCTTCGAGTTGTCTCTGTGAGTGCTCCACTCATGGTGTCGGGCTCATCCCGGCGCCGCAGCTCGGAGGCTTTGCATAGCTGTTTTCAGCTGGGTGTGCCTGTGCAGTGTACAGCACGCGCCGGTCTCGCCCTTTGATCTTCGCGCGCACCCAGCTTCCCTGTCAGTTCCTCTCAACCATCCCTGGATGCAGAGGGAGCTTCTATTCTCTCTTCCTCACAGCAGTTCTCCTTCCCTCAGGGAACCTGTAATTAGTTAGTTGTATATAGTTAGCTTCCTTTGTTGTCTGTTTTTATCTTATCTACAAAACAAACAAAAAAAACCCAAAACAAAACAAAAAAGGACTCTTGTACACCTCATTAAAGAAGGGGCTTGCAGCAGCTCCCTGCTGTTATAAGCAGTGGATCAGCTGTAGAGTTTAAAAAAAAACAAAACCTGTTCTGTAAGAAGAAAACAGTTAGCAGTCATGCCTGGATCTCCAGGTTTTAAAAAGTGTGCCCACTGCAGTGAACCAATGCCAATTTCTGATGGGCACTCACTTTGTGTACATTGCCTGGGCGAGAACCACACTCCCCATAAGTGTGAGCACTGTTAAAAATGACAGTCCGTACTTGTCATGACAGGGAAATGTGGCTAAAGATGTTCTTCCTTGATAAGGTACAGGACCCCAATGCGGGAAATCCTGAGCAGCGGGGGAGAACCCCTAAGAGAAGTGTCTCTTCCCCTGACTTGCGGGAGAAAAGGAAAAAAATCTCTCCAGCCAGATCCCTGCCACCTGAAATAATGGTGGCGGGCAAACATGGATCCTCTGGCTCTGTTCCACGATCCTCACCATCTGGTGAGGATAAAAGGAAGGAAGGCTGCGTATTCCAGGCCAGAAGCAGCCTCGGTGCTGGCAAGTGCAGCCTATGTGAAAAAGGCGCCAGCACCGCACCACTCCTCTTCTAAAGCCCAGCACAAAGCTGCGCAGGCAACAGCGGCACCTCAAAAAACTCTCCTGGCACCAGAAACAAAGCTGACAATGTTGCTGGTGCCGAAGGCAGCTGCGGTGCGGTCAAGTCAAGCGGCACGCATACTTAAAATGCACCGGCACCACTTTCTTCTCCCCAGCACCGGCATCTCTTCAACCAATGTTGCAGGTGACACGTGGGGCTTCTCAATTACAAACAGCCCCAGCACCGGTATATGCAGCATTGCAACAACAGCTGACCGAAGAGCCAGAGACACAGCCTCAAGTAGAGGCACCATTCAGAGCACGGGGACAGGATACTCATCTCTCTCCTTCCCCAAAATTTTCACCTGGTCCCTCTCCTTCTCCTACGGTGTATGGCTCACCTTTACACCATAGCTACCAGCACCACAACCCCAGTCACCATACTTATTATAGACAGGATTCTCCATATGGGCGCCCTCATTACAGGGGCTATTATAGATGCCCATCCTACTCTCCATCATATGAACGGTCATATTGCTACTCTCCACGCATCAGGCATGAGAGGCAACATACCAGCAATAGATCATTTAGGTGCTCGTCCCCTCATCCATCAAATCAATATTACGAGTACCACCGCTCTTCCCATCACTATGGGTATCAACAGCCCTCATGCTGCAACCTGTCATCAGTGAGGCACTCTCTGTCACACCAGCATTGTGACTGTCACCTGGCTTCCCCATATTTAGAACCCATAACGGTTCTAAATCCTGCTGGAAAGGGATAACAAGTGGAGTTCCTCAAGGGTCTGTTTTGGGACCCGTACTGTTCAATATCTTCATCAATGATGTAGATATTGGGATAGAGAGTACGCGCTGCAACCTGTCATCAGTGAGGCACTCTCTGTCACACCAGCATTGTGACTGTCACCTGGCTTCCCCATATTTAGAACCCATAACGGTTCTAAATCCTGCTGGAAAGGGATAACAAGTGGAGTTCCTCAAGGGTCTGTTTTGGGACCCGTACTGTTCAATATCTTCATCAATGATGTAGATATTGGGATAGAGAGTACGCTTATTAAGTTTGCAGATGATACCAAACTGGGTGGGATTGCAACTTCTTTGGAGGATAGGGACATAATTCAAAACGACCTTAGCAAGTTAGAGAAATGGTCAGAGGTAAACAGGATGAGGTTTAATAAAGAGAAATGCAAAGTGCTCCACTTAGGAAGGAACAATCAGTTCCATACATACAAGATGGGAAGCGACTATCTAAGAAGGAGCATAGCGGAAAGGGATCTAGGGGTCATAGTGGACCACAAGGTGAATATGAGTCAACAGTGTGATGCTGTTGCAAAAAAAGCAAATATGATTCTAGGTTGTATCAACAGGTGTGTTGTAAGTCGGAAAGGGACCTAGGGGTCATAGTGAACCACAAGTTGAATATGAGTCAACAGTGTGATGCTGTTGCAAAAAAAGCAAATATGATTCTAGGTTGTATCAACAGGTGTGTTGTAAGCAAAACTCGTGAAGTCATTCTGCCGCTCTACTCTGCACTAGTTAGGCCTCAGCTGGAGTACTGTGTCCAGTTCTGGGCGCCACATTTCAAGAAAGATGTGGAGAAATTGGAAAGGGTACAGAGAAGAGCGACAAGAATGATTAAAGGTTTAGAGAACATGACCTATGAAGCCAGGCTTCATGAACTGGGCTTGTTTAGTTTGGAAAAAAGAAGATTAAGGGGGGACATGATAGCGGTTTTCAAATATCTAAAAGGGTGTCACAAGGAGGAAGGAGAAAATTTGTTCCTCTTGGTTTCTGAGGACAGGACAAGGAGTAATGGGCTTAAAGTGCAGCAGGGGAGGTTTAGATTGGACATTAGGAAAAAATTCCTAACTGTCAGGGTGGTCAAATATTGGAATAAATTGCCAAGGGAGGTGGTGGAATCTCCCTCTCTGGAGATATTTAAGAACAGGTTAGATAGACATCTGTCAGGGATGGTGTAGACGGAGCTTGGTCCTGCCTTGAGGGCGGGGGGCTGGACTCGATGACCTCTCGAGGTCCCTTCCAGTCCTATGATTCTATGATTCTATATGCAGCCAGGCCGGCACAACACGGCAGTCAGACCTGGAAGATGGTCAGTTGTCTGAAAGGGATTACCATCAGTCTGAAAACCCAGTTCCTGATGGTTCACCCTTGTCTTCACATGGTGCGGTTTTCCCACCGGACACGTCCCCACTAGATGATTGTAAGCAGTTCCAAGACC